AAAGAAGTTTACTCGGAATTAAACGAAATAAAAGCAGAAGTACCACAAGAAAGTGTATTGGGTCCTGTACTTTATCTACTTCATATATATTGCGAAACTATAAAATTAAAACAACTGCCAGTGCGGACATATGTTATTGAGTTATTGAAATGATCCAACAAGAGTAACATTGAAATAATACAGCGCTTTCAGAATAAAGTACTGAGGAATATGGTAAATGGCCCTTAATACTTTAGAAATCATGACCTTTACAGAGATCAGGAGATCGACACTGGTAACTAGACCATCGAAAAATTTAGTATGATTACGTCGAGGCCATCCATGTCCTTTTTAATAACAAGAATTTGAAAAGAGAATTCAAAACTCTTTGAAACATTGTTAGTATGAAGCAGAGACATTGAATTAACCTGTATATATTATATGAGGGACTTAACTGTTTTTAAATATACTAACAAGTTTTAAAATTTAAATGATTAAAAATGTATAATAGTTGTTCGGACCAAAGACCTTCAGAAATGCTAATAAATACTACATATTTCTGGAACAAAAAGTCTAATGGTGATGACCTAGATAGTTAATCAATTAAACTTCCACATAATTGAAGAAAATTGTATTGTGTCAATTACTATATTAAATGGCAGATACCGTTATATTTAAAATATACCTAATGAGGACATCCAGGTTTCCACATTTCTAATGGACTTTTGATTCAGTGCTCCATCATCCTCCAAGCCATATAGAGGATAAAATTGATTCAAATATTACCTTACTTATAGAAACTAATGCTTTTTCGTATTATTTTTTTGTGCAGGCTCACTAAAATATTATTATTTTCAAACTTCTCATCAGTTTATATCTTGCTTCTAAAGGTTTTCTTAAAATTTTACACTATTTTTAGAACGATGCTACAGAATATTGTGCAAATTTGTTTAACCTTACAACTTAATACGCCTATAGTTCGACCACTTAAATTAATTATGCAGACTGATTGTAAGTAAAAAGAGGTTAATTTTTTAATAGTCTTTCTTTTTGTGGTAACTTCAATGACGGACTCATTTAGATCAATAAAATAAGGTCGTTATTAATATTTTGATACGCCCACTGTCAGCACAAAGTCAATAAGTGGTCTTAGTTGTAATATTAAAAAAAAATATGTATCCTTTTGTAGTATGTTATAGTGCATTAAAATTAATTGGTACATATTTAATAATTAATTTAAACAACTAATAAAATAAATTAAATTTTTTAAATAATTAATATTATGAAATGTATACCGAGTAACATAAATTAGTCTGTGTGCATTTTATTTATAACTGAAATAATATTTAGTAATTATTAAAATATTAATCAAAAAGGAGACCTTCATACAAGACGATATCCATTGCTTTGTAATGAGGGGTACCAGCTAATATACAACTAAGGTCAATTAAATAAAAATGATGGGGTTGCGGTATTCATTAAAAATAATTATAAACCAACACATAAAATCGTAATGTTTTCAGTTTTCAGTTTTAGAAATATGTATTACTACTTCTGAAAAAAAAAAACAAATCTTAATAACTTGCATGTATCGGTCCCCTTCCACTAATGATAAGTATTTTGTATTGTCTTCAAGAGAGTATCTTTAACAAAAAAGTAAATTGGATATAGGATTTCATATTTTTTTAGGCGATATTAACTTAAACTGTATGAATTAAATTTTGAATCTATGATTAATAAGCACACTAAGTCACAGAAACTCTAAAAGTTGTCTAGACGATATTTTTTTAAAATGTAAATCCAAATCTATTAAAATTTGTACTGTAGATGCAACCATTGAAACAATCGTGACTGATCATAAAGCGACATTTTTAAGTATGCCATTAAAATTATTATATTTGAAAAATAGAGGTTTTTAAAAAAAACAAATCAATTTTAAAGAACTTAGAAACGACTTAAAAAATAAAGATTGGGAAGAATTTTATAACTCGAAAAATGTAAATGAAAAATTCTATATCTTGACAGAATCCCTAAAACTAATGTGAATAAAAAAGACAAAAATTGATTACAAAAGGTTTGGTAAAATCCGTAAATTTAAAAAATACTCTATACAAAGAATACTTGAAAGACCCAAATAACCTGAAAAAAAGAAATGAATTATTAAGCTACAGAGACCAGTTAAAGAAAATAAAATCTGTAGAAAAAGATTATTTTAAGAATGAAATAAAAAAAATAGTAACTATTCTAAAATCTTTGGAACATTGTAAACAGGTCGAAACAAGAAGAAAATATTAAAAACGTAGAGGAAGTGCTTGCTCAAAATGGATCATCTATTAGGGACAGCAAAAGCATTGCAAATCGATTTGTCCAACATTTCACCGATGTAGGAGAGACGTATGCTACTAAAATGATTAAACACGAAACACCTTCACCGAAAATTAAATCCATTTTACAATCGTTTTATCTCTCTCAGGTTACTGGTGCAGAGATAAATAGAATTATAGAATCTTTAAAAAGTAAAAAGGCACCAGGAATAGATGGTCTAACAACCGAAATAGTAAAAAATATAAAAAATGAAATCCCTTAATTAGTTAACCTAATAAATCACATTTTTAATACTGGTGAATGTCCAAATCAGTTTAAAGTGGCAATTATATTACCAATTTATAGAAAATGTGATAGGAATAACGTTTCCAATTATAGACCAATCTCTTTAATAACTACACTTACTAAAATTTTTGAGGAAGCTTTAAAAATACGTTTAATAACTTTTTTCAATAAACATAAATTACTATCTAAATGCCAATATTGTTTTCAAGAAGGCTTATCTACGAATGATGCAATTGCCGAATTAACAAAGACCATCTACAAACTCGTTGATGATAGGAAACCAAGAGCCTGTGTATTTCTGGATCTCGAAAAGGTATACCATACTGTTTGTCATAAACAGTTGATAGTAGTGTTGGGAGATGCAGGAATACGAGGGACATCACTTGATTTGATGGCTAGTTACATAAATAACAGAAAACTCTATTGTTTAGTGTTTAGTGCCTCTTCAGTATTGAAACTGAAGGTAACATAATTAGTTTTGCTGACGACACCGCAATTATTTATACAGCTAAAGATTGGGAGGATCTAAAAATAAAAACAGAAACAGATTTATGTTAAATTATTGACTGGTTTAATTATAAGAAATTAACTGTTAATTTTGAGAAAACCCATTTTGTTTCTTTTTGTAGTTATAAAGCCTCTTTACCACCCTTTAATGAAATACGGATTCAAAACCATCAGAATGCAACTATTAGGTCAGTGAATGAAATTAAATATTTAGGAATAAAACTAGACTCGCATCTTAAGTGGAATGCCCATGTCGAAGATATTGCTAGATCTTTAAGATGCCTTCTTTTAAATTTTAAATATCTTAAAACATGTCTAAATGTTCGTCATTTGAAAATAATTTATTATTCTCTTGTTCAGTAGAGGTTAAATTATGGTATACTTGGATGGGGCGGAATTCTTCAAATCCATCTGAAAAAAATTGATGTTTTACAAAAAAAAAATTTAAAATCATTTTAAATAAAAATTGGACTTACCCTTCAGATTCTTTGTTTATTGAAAGTAAGAGGGAAAGCCCACTCACGCGACATTTCGCGCGCGACCTACCGCATGCGATTTTTTAGGTGCGATTTTTAACAGACGACAAGCAGCGACACAGACGTACAGTATCAAAATAGAGGTGGAAGAAGTAGTAACGGTGTTGTTTTATTCTGATCGTCGGCGGAAAAAATTGAAACGACGTAGGTACTGGGTTCATCCATTATTTATAGACCCTTATTTAAAAGGCGCATTTAATTTATTACATAAGGATTTACGTCAACACAAGTTCTTCAAATATTTCAGAATGAGATTAGTGTCATTTGACGAACTGTTAGCGCAGATTCCCAAACAAATATTTTTTTCGCTATTTTATTTCAATTAACTGTTGAGGTCGATCTTGAATATCGGCTATAAATTCATCTATATCAATACATTTGTATGAGTGATGCTCCATATGAATCCATGATAAAGCTGGCCGCGTGCGGCAGGAAAATCGCGGGATTGTCATTTTTAATTTTCAGCTGCGTGCGACCACGCGACAGAACCGCGTTAATGAGCTTTGAGTCATTTAAAAACATCTAAAGTATTGACGCGCGTGAGTGATGCCTCGCGATCAGTCGCGCGCGACGTGTAGCATGAGTGGGCTTTCCCTCTAAAGTGATGGATCAGACAGTTATATACATATGCTGTCTTATTATTTATATACAAAAACCGCACTTTCCTAAAAAACATAGATCACAATTATTCTACCAGAAATAAATTAAATAATTATGTAATTACAGAGACTGGAAAAAAATCTGTGGGTCAAAGATATGTTACATATCTATCTGGAAGAATATACAACTTTTTACCAAATATGTATAAAATTTATTTAACAACCATAAATTCAACCAAGCTGATAAAAACATTTTTAAAAAGTTTCTATTAAATTGTGAGAGAAAAGATCATGACCAGATAGAAATTAAAATCACTCCTATTTAAATTATTACTAGTAATAAAATTGTTTTTTGAATATGATTTATATTTTATGTTAGGTTTTTATGTACATTTGCGTTATTTAAGTATATTTAAATTATTCCTTTTATTAAAATTGGTTTTGTACATGATTATATTTTATATTAGGTTTAGTATCTAGTATTACTGTTTGCATTGATCACTAAAATAGGTATAGACACTAAACTTAGTCATTAGCTCGTGCACGACTTCATATGATTTTAAAGAGCCTACGACAAAGTTTAGTTTATTCTTTATTAAAAAAAAAATGTATACCAAACAAACAAACTTTTTTGGAATGAACTATTATTATTGTAACCAGCAAGTTCATAAAACGATGTCATCTTAAAATATTACATCGTACATACCCTCCAGAAACATTTCCACGCTAGTGATTATTAATCATACAACTAATTTTATTGTTTTTGCAGTACCAGAATACGAAGTAGTTCCCGTCCAACACAACGTCAAAAACGGTTTACCAGACTACAAAGAAAACGCCATTGATCATCTAGACACGGACCCTAAAACCAATAAAACGAAAAATAAAGATCCTTTAGACAATTTAACTACCAATGTAAAACTTAAAGCTTTTGGAAAACCCTTCAATTTGACATTGGTGCCAACGAGAGGTTTGTTCAAAAAGGGTAAATTAAAACTTTGGACCATAGAACCCAATGCCACGGCTCAACATGGGGTGGAATACGTCGAAATACCAGAGGTAAGTTTTAATTATTTATTTAGGGTTTACAGTAATAGATTTATTGATGAGATACGCAATTTTTAGAAAGAATTCTTCGAATTGATTTACATGAATGCTTGCTTTAGATAGAGTTCCTAAATAGGGGGTCGGTTGTTTATAAGGATGACTCGGATGTAAGTTGGGAGATTCGAGCAAACAATATTTCGTTGGTGGAAAAAGTGAATTGGTTAATTAGGATGATGAACAGTCGAACAGGCGTTACGTCATAACTGTTTTACGTCGTAATTTTATTGTACTGATATGTAACATCGATAGCTTAGCATACGAATTCATAAAAAAAAGAATGTTGAAAATCCAATCATCTTCTCAAGATAGGACGAGCAAAAAAATGTGTTCAACCGAAGAACATACGATCTAAAATAAAGTTCTGACTTTTTATTTGGCGCCAGAGCATACGAGCTTTTTTTTTCTTCGCTCGATTTCAAAATAGTAGAGTAAGAATGTTGTTTGGTTTTTTTCTTCAGGAGACAATCAGTACCATCAGCACTGAATTTTGTCATCAGATCAGAGAAGGCGAAAAGTAAAAGGAATGGAAAGGGTAGAAGAAAATATTACACTTGCATGCCTTTATTATGCAAAAAACAGCGACAAGAGGTTTTATTACCATCCATAAATTTTAAGTAGATACTATAAAATTTAAAAAATATAAAAGAAGTGTGATTTATTATCTGCAAAGTGGGTTTTACATTACCTTTCATAAAATTCACATTCTATAGATAAAATAACATATGATATATAATTTTATAATATAAAACAGAATACTATATTTCAAGTGTGACTTAGCCCATCCAAGTATCCTGTAGTCATTCGAAATCCTGTAGTCTTCATAAGATATAGCACAGCCATAGTATTCTCAATAAATGTTTCAGCGACAAGAAGACAAATCTAACGGGGTTATTTTGTTCAATAAAAAATAAATAAATTATAAAGTTATTACCTAATTCGTACTTCCAGAAAAGCATATTCTTGAATTTCGATGGTAATCACTAATTTTTTGCACTAGAAAAATGCACAGAAGCGAATTTAATCAGTTGCTCATGCAGATAGTGATATTAAAGAACGCTATCTGCCAACTATTGCTTCAAACTCAAGTGTATAACGAAATAATTAATAAAAAGATTTTTAACATATAACAATTTCTTCTTACCAAGGTTCAGGGGCGTGCGATCCATGGAAGCGGGGGAAGCACCGCTTCCCTACACTTTGAGATTTAAAAATAAATATTGTTTACAATGCATATAAATTAATATTATATTAGGTACTATATTTTCTCTGAAACATTACGTAAACTTCGTAAATGTACTAATAATTCATTAGTGTAATGTGTAAACGCACACACCATATACTTCAAGTCCGTCGGCGGAAGCGCGTCTTGAAAAAGCCGGCTTATCTTCCAATTGATTTCGCTTCGTGTTATTTACCCTGCTTTGCCGCGACAGTAATTAGTCTGTTTGTACACGTGAAATATGGTCGAGAGGCAGCGATTTTTACGTCGCCTTACGCATATTGCAATTCGCACCGCGAATCGACGTGTGAGGAAAGTCGTAGACTTCAGATAGATTTCGGTTTATTTTTCGTAGTTGTTTTTCTTTCTGTAAAATGGAGGAACTATGCACTGTGCCTGTGAACAATAATAATGTGGTAAATTGTGTCTGTATTGTGTGATCTTGATTAAAAACAGGATTTCAAGTAGAAATTTTGAAGAGAAAATGGATATTATTAAATTGTAGTAGACTAAAGGATCCTATCAATTTAGAGACGAAAGTAGAAAAGTCAGCAAAGAAATTTACCAGGCATTTTCACGTAGGGTTCTATGAAAAGTATGAATGGTTAACCGGCTGCAAAACTTTGAAGAAATTGTTATGCTGGCCTTACATACTTTTTAATGTAGCCGAAAAAACACATTGGAACTCAGTCGGTATTACAGACTTGAATAATTTTCACAAAAGTGTAAAACGACATGTAAATAGCAAATCTCATATAAGTACTACAATTAAAGAAAAAACATTCGGGACCTATCGCATTGAACATAGTTTGGACAAACATTTAAAAATAAGCAACAAAATTCACAATGAAAGGGTAAACAAAATAGGGACGTCTTACAACGATTAATAGACGTAACTTGTTTCCTGGAAGAGCATGAACTAAGTTTTAGGGGTCACAATAAAGCAAGTGGATCTGCCAATCGAGGAAATTGCATGGACCTTCTAAGTTTTTTAGCAAAATACGATGATACCCTAAAAAATCACTTTATTGATTGGACGACTTTCCGAGGTACCTCAAATAGAATCCAAAATGATTTAATTAAATGCACTGCCGACGTTGTGATGGATCACATTAAAAGTGAAATTAAAAAAGCACCTTTCGTATCAATTGCGCTTGATGAAACCACAGATGTAGGTAGCAAACTTAAGTCAAATCCATTGTTGTGCTATATGTATTAGATGGCATTCCTCAAGAGCGATTCTTAGTATTTTTGGACGTCACAAACTGCAGATGCATTGTTTAAAATTGTTTGTGACATTATTTTAAGTTTAGAATGTAATTCTAAGCTTGTTGCCCAAGAGCTACGATGGTGCTGCCGTAATGGCTGGCAATTTAGGAGGCCTTCAAGCTAAAGTGAAAGAGAAGTTTAAACATGCAATTTTCGTTCACTGTATAGCACATAGATTTAATTTGGTTTTATCGCGAAGCATGGATAATATTAAAAATTGCAAAGTTTTCTTTTCGACGCTTAGTGGTTTGGCTTCCTTCTTTTCAAAGTCATCAAAAAGAACTCGCGCTTTGGACATTCACGTTCAAAAAAGGTTTCCAAAAGTTGCTCCGGCGCGATGGAACTACAATGGACGTTTAGTGCAAACAGTGTTTCAATACCGTGATTCCTTGATACACTTTTTTCAAGACGTTTGGGATAATAAAGAAACATGGGATGCTGAAACCGTTACTGCTGCTAAAGGGTATTTGCATTGGCTCAAACAAAACTTTGATTTCAATTTTTTGTTCAACATTTTTGCAGAGATTTTCCCTTTTACTGACATTTTACAGACAAAGTCAAATGGCATTGGCTTTTGCATTAAACAAATTGATGAATTTAAAAATAAAATGAATAAAAAAACGAGATCAGTTTGAATACTTTTGGAATAAGACTCAAAACATTGGCTTAGAATCTGAAAGAAAGAGAATTAGAATTGATAATGTTGGCGACAGAGAGACCTCCTATCGTCGATTATACGCCGAAATTTTTGATAATATTTTACAACAAATGAACTCTCGATTTTAAAACTTTAACGAATTAAAATTTGTTGAATTGTGCAATATTAATATTAGTAACTACGATTCATCAAAATTTCCATCGGAAGCTTTTAATTCACTAAAATTAAATTATGGAAATTTATTCGATATTCCAGCATTAGTCCCAGTTGAGTGTTGTTTATGAAACAACTGAAATTAGTAATAAAAAGACGCCCATCAATGTGTTAAATTTTCTTATAACAACTGGTTTAAATAAGTCCCTTTGTGAAGTCGTCAAGTTGTGTGAATTAGTACTAACAATCCCAGCCACAAGTCCGGCAGTTGAGCGAAGTTTTTCAGCTTTAAAGTGCATTAAAAGTTTTATACAAAATTCAAGTGAAGACAGACTCTCTAATGTAGCCCTAATATCCATTGAAAAACAGCTTGTTAAACAGTTATCAGAAAATCCAAAATTTTACGACGATGTTATAGATAAATTTGCAGCCATTGAGGATAGGCGAATAGATCTTAAGTATAAATAAATGTCGACTGCTGTGTCAACTGTGCGAAAAATGTTGGAAAAAATAAAAAAAAAACTGTTTTTTTATAGTTTCTAGTACTAAACTAGGTAATAAAGTAATAGTAACACTTCAAAAATCTCAATCTCGAATATCCGTAGTACTGAGGAAAAAAAGCAGGATTTTGACAAAATGGTGAATGCGCCGCGAAAAATTTTCGTCTGCGGCACTGTGCTTACTAGCCTGTTGTATTTTTATACAATCGCTTCCCCTTCCAAAAATGTCACCGCACGCCAATGCCAAGGTTTCACATACAGATTGTACTTGTAGGGGCGGGATTAGTAATTTGCGAAAGAACTGAAGTCATCTCAAATTTTGCTTCTTGACGACTAAAAAATAAATACATAAAAAAAATGTTGAAACCATTAGTACCTACTGTATGAACTACCAATATTGTGTAAAACACCAACCTTCTCGTAGATTGTCTTCAAGTTATGTACTCTGGTAACATTTTATTACTGTCAACTCGTTGTTGATTTCGTCCGTTAGATCTGAAATTAAATCAAATTACTAAAATTTCAATTAAAATGATCTACTGAAATTATGCTCTTACCTAATAACGTACGCTAGGATGTTCATTCTTTAATTCGGATGTTCACCAAACGAACGTCCGAGGCACTCCATGATGCCATTTTTAATTATTATCAATAGAAAAATTGTGACCTGAGTGTTGATCAACGCATATAAGTACTGAGTTAAAATAATCATATTAATAAAATATTTGCTTATAAATCATGAATTTAAAACAAACCAATAATATTTACAATGACAGTCTCTGGCATTCCCAATGAATTCAGAAACTTTTTAGCCATGCTTAAACTCCAACTTTAAAAAAATTAAAATAGAGCATATTTTAATGAGAGGTGCTAGGTATAAACATAATCAACTAGCCAAGCGATTTAAATACAAAAGAAATGAATAAAATAAAGTAACATACCTTTCTCCTTTATAAGAACTTAAACCACTGAATAACATTGCCACTCTTTATGCTCTATGAAATAATTTATATTACTAAAATAGCCCAAACAAAGACAACAGCTATAAAGGGTATGCACCCCACCACATTTTCTATGCTCTCTTAGATAGCTCTAAAGTAGAAAAATCTACCTCTGAGCTATTGAGCACATGATGCCTATTATCCCATTTCAT